TATCTGCCCGTTGAGAACCACATCTAAGCACCTCCCCAGGGGTTGTTACTGGCCCTGAGAGCAGTCCCAGTGCTGCTCCACACACTGGACATCAACTCTACCCACAAATAAGATGTGCCTGCCTAGAACACAAGTGTTGTAGGGCTGAGGCTTCCATGTGGATTTTCTCAGGAATGTATCAATCCAAAAGGGACAGCCCAACCTGGAGGATCTCTCTTTTGTAGTAGTCCAGAACCTTCTGCTTCAGTCCACTGTTGCACACAGACTGCAAGCAAACGAGGCGTAGGATCTTGATCAGTGGATGTTTCTGAGCTATGCAGTCTTCAATGTAATTGTTAACCTATTGAAAAAAATACACAACCTGTTACTTAAAGGCCTGTTACAGTGCCTAGAATACCTGGAAAGAAAGATCTAGCTTTGTCTAGTATCTCCCAACCAGCCAGGAAGAAGGTGCAGCTGCTCTCCAGGCAGCTCAAGACAACAGTGCTCCAGCACTGGTTCCACCCAGCACCTTTCTAAAGCACATTGACTCCACAGTCAGTAGCTAGAGACACACGTGGGAGCTCACAATCTTAACACTGGAAGGAGACAGACATCATCTACAGCAGATGTGACCTCTCTCAAAAAAACCAAAAGGACAAAAACCCAGAGAAAAACATTGTGAGTTTGTTTGGTTTTTTTTTTAAAGACTCAACAATTGTCATTATCTGCTTACCTTGTCCGTGTCAATTCCAGACATGAACTCTTGTTCCACTGTCAAATTATCAAAGAAATCTTCAGATGCTTTGGGAAAAGAATGAAAATCAATACAGTAGCAGCTGACAGCTCATCTTCCACACTTAACATTTCAGCAGAGATGCCCTGGATGGAGCACAGCCCATTTCTGCCAGGCCCACCAACGTCCACCCGCTTGTCTCGCACCTCGCCGTGCCGGCACCAGCCCGGCTGCTGGGGCAGTACTCACTGGTGATGTCCTTGATGAGCTCAGCTATGGAGGTGTGGTTGGCCAGGGAGCTCCTCGCCGCCTGCATGTGTGGCAGCTGGGAGACAAACTGCTTGATCTCCCCGACGGTCTTCGCGTGGTGCCTCTCCTGGAGGAACCCATCGCTCAGGTCAGCCCTTGTTCAGCTCCTGACACCAGCTACAGCGTCTTAGCAGCAAAAGGGTTTGGACTGCACTCACTGCAGCAGCAGCTAACGCCAGGGACACACAACCTTCTAGGCAGAAGACTTTATAATATATCACTCTGAATACTATGCTGAAGTCACAGCGTGCCCCGTACCAGTGCTGTGATCACTGGAAGAGGCAGGATGTGATACAAGAGGATCATGAGATGGGGTTTTCCATTATACCAGTGCTGCCAATCACTTTTCTGCCTGACTTCAGCCATCACTATCTGCTGCTCGGTTTCCCTACCAGCAAATCTACCTTTTCCACACAAAGCTGAACTCCTTTGCCAGCTGCCAGCAGACACAGAGCTCAGTGCAGCCATGGGGTGGGGGACATGTCCCCTCACAGCAGCAGGGAAAGGTGCTGAGGATCTGGGCTGCAGGCTCTGTGCCCCTTGCAAAGGGAAGCCTGACACTCGCTGTACCTGGCCCAGGCTTTGAGCAAGGGTCTGTTGGAGCACAATGCAGACTGGGCTCTCAGAGCAGCCCAGAGCTCTGTATTTCCTTGGGGATACTTGCCTCTTGCTGCAACTTGGAATAAATATAATAATGATAATAATAGTAATAATAGGATCCATATGTGAGAGATTTAAATGGACAAGTGCAGGCAGGAGGGTGATAATGAAGCCTGCAATTTAAGAAGTACTCTGCTGCCAGTGTGCTGCTGTCTCATTATCATCTATTACCTCCCACTATTTTTTTTAACCACCAGTATGAATAATCCATCTTTAGCAGCTTCAAACACTAACACTGCACTAATAGCCGTTTGCTAGGTGAGGCTCAGCACACAGGGTTTCAGTTAAGGCACCACTACCTCCTCTTGAACGTGGCAAAAGTGCAGAGGAAAAGAAGAAAACCCCCAGGAAACACAATCAGTGTAACAAGTGCTCTCGAGAATCAGCGTGAAGTCTCAGAGCAGAGATACAGGATCTCTGTTTCTTTATGAATCATCGACAGGATGTTTTCAAATGAAACCACAAACACAGCACACAGCACACTCCAGCTTTGTCTAATGTGACATGTGAGCCCGAATTCACAGGTCAAACCCCCTGTCACACAACTTTTCCCCATTCCTACTGGTTTTATGCCAGCCGTAAGACTCTGAATGTATGTTCTGGAATTTTAATTCTTAAAGCCTTTTCTCAGCCCATTCCTGTTATGGGAACTAGAGGCTCACACAGCAGGAACATGGCTTAGGCCAGCTCTGGGACAAGCTCTGAACAGTGAGAATGGGAAAAGCCCCAGCACAGAGGGATGGGGAGAAGAGAGGATCCGCACTACCACGGGATTCCTAAGGGGAGATCCGACCAGCACCTACTCGGAACAGTCCAAGTGGAGCTGATCTCATCCCAGGGGCAGGGGCATGGGCTGGAGGAGTGTCTGCAGACTGTCTGGTCTTCCTCTGGCTGGGGGACTCCTCCATGGCTCAGCTCGAGCTGCCAGGCACAGCCCTGCTGGCTGCAGACTGACCCACCTGCCCCCAGGAACGCCCAGGGGACGTGGTGTGGGTCAGGCTCACCTCAAAGGCTGCTGAGATGATCTTGGCTTTCTTGCTCAGCACCGACCCCACAGCATTGAAGTTCTTGTCTCGGATTTCAGCATACAGCTCTTCAGCAGAGTTCAGCTGGAGCTTCTTGGGTTCTGTGGGGAGATCTTTCCCACCCTCGCCCTGCTTCTTTGGGGCAAACTTCTCAGGAGGCAGTTTCACATAAGCTACCAAAGGCAGAGAAATAACTCTTAGTTATTTAGTTCTTAGTAATTCCTGAGCTGAATTCTGAGCAGCAAAGCTACTACAAACACTGAGATGACTCTGCATATGTGTTCATTAAGGAGAATTTCCCTGTACTCGGGGACCCAGAGACCTATACACACATCTGTGACCAGCACCCAAGTGCTAGCTGCCCTGCTGCTAAAGAGGTTTGGAGGCAGCCATCCAGCCACCCTCCAGTACAGCATAAATGCCTCTCTGGAGTTTTCCCCACTCCCTCCTGAAGAGCAGGAGGGCTCTGAATAGTCTCTCACACACTGTTCCTGTCCCCTCTGTGTGGCACAGTGGGTGGAGGCACACACTAACACCTCCCCTCCCCTGCTCTGCGTTCTGTGTCACCACGTCTGCACCCAAACGACATCCAAAATACGCCCACTCAGACACTGAGCACTGTACCCCACGCCCCCGCCGAGGCAGAAAGAGCCAGAGCTGGGCTCGTTGGGCTCTAGCCTAGGACTGGCCCACCCCACTGAGTGCAGGGGAGCTGCTCCCACAGCAGGGCCTGTCAGAGCAGAGCCCCTGGGGCCCTCACTGTTGTGGATGCCGTAGAGCTCGTCGATGAGCCCCTCGTAGGTGAGCTGCGTGGCCAGCGGCGTCAGCGGGTCCACGTTGCGGTCCAGCAGCAGCAGCGTGTCGAAGACGGGGAAGATGGAGTTCTGGCTGCCGGGGAACTCCCGCCTCATCCTCATCATCATGTTGGCCACGTGCTGCAGAGAGACCACGTCTGTGAGAAACGCTGGTTGTGGTGGGGGTCACAGCACGTGGGTTTCACTCCCAGGCCTTACAAGCACGTGCTCATGTGAGAATGGGGCATGGTCCTGGGTAAAGGAAGAGTGGCAAGAGGTGCAAACAGGCTGACAGATGGGGCAGGACTAGACCAAAAACACCCCTCAAAGTCCTTCAAAGCCACTCTCTGCAGCTTAGCAAAACAGCAACTGTGGCTGAAGCACTGGGTTTGTCTCAAGCCACTCCCTCATTAAAAAAGGTACCGAATAAAACCATAGATTGATCAGAGAGAAGGAAAAAGAGCAAGTTAGTTATAGCGAGATATAAAAAAGCCAAGGCATGAGCAGTAGGTTACACATTTCCTGCTTTATTCAGCCCTCCTGATACCAACAGAGCAGCTAAGTGTTCAAACTCCACAGAAAGAGCTGCCGAAAGCATGAGGGCAGAGCACCCGTGAGCAAAAAGCACATGGGATCAGATAAAGCCTCCTGGCAGGAAGGCTTATGGAACAGCAAAGATTGCTCTGGCCAGAGCTCACACAGACCCAACAGCCACAATCCTGAAATTCCAACAGGACAGGAAGGGGCTGTGGCTGGATTCCAAAAACCCAGAGGTGCCTTTAACCAAACACTCCAGTGTGGCAGCCCCACAGAAGACACATTACTGTCAGCAGCAGCATTTCCTTACCCGGGCACACTCGCCCTTCCCGAAAATCTGCGGGATGGTTCCGTAGAGAGCCTGCAGTGTCATCAGCCCCTTTGCTGCATGGTACAGACTCGTCTGGTCGCTCTCCAGGTAACACTCCTGCACAACAAGAAGCATTCCCAATGGAAGGTGCCAACCCGACACAGCTGCAGGTGACAGCTGTCGCTTCCCCGTGCAGCTTACACGCAGTACTAACCACTGCACGTGGCTCTTGCTGTGCACTGGCACAAACAGGGCTGGCTCGTTGTAACAATTAAGTATTTTAAGCCTTGTGAATTTGTGAAAATATCACCAGAAGTTAAAGCTGGAGGAATTGGGGTGCAGCTTGAATGCAGCGATTGTGCCTGCTGCGTTCAGTCAGAAAACACAGAGCTCAGGCTCAGTTCAACACTCAGGATCAAGCCACGTTTGCTCTGTGAGACCTTCTCCTGCTGCGTGGTCACCAACAAACCCTCCAAGAGCCTCTGCACCCAGCACAGAGCCGCATGGTGCTACTCCTCAGAGACAACACCCACCTTGAAGGCACTCTCTGACTCCATGGAGAGCAGGTCTCCATCGAAGGGTATCAGGTCCAGGCTGTACTGCTCTCGGTGGATGAAGGAGCCCAGCACGCCCTGCTCCTTCAGCCACTGCTCACAGAGCAGGCTGCGGCGTGGCACGAAGAGGATGTGGAAGTCCCTCTGGGGCGAGCGGCCTCTGTCCTCCCTGGAAGAGTCACAGGCAGGAGCACAGCAAAGGGTAACTCAGTGGGGAACCAGCACAGCCTGCAGGCAGGGACACCGACTACAGAGGGAAGGGGAATACCTCCCTTGGTTATTACTGCCAACTGGAAACACAAATTCCCAGCTTTGTACTCTGGAGTATTTTTTACCCGGCCACATCCATCCACAGCCACAGCTCTAAACCCAGGGCAAGGTGACTTGGTTTTCCTGCAGCTCTCAAAAGGATTCAATCAAAGCGTGACCCATTCCAGCTAATCAGAAGGAACGGATACTCTCTTAATGAGAAATGCACCCCCTGCACTGTCAGT